GAATGAGAGGTTCGCTGAGTTTTTAATGAAGTATGATTTTGTATAATCTCAGACTGATAATAATTACTTTGGTTAACAATTTACGTCGATAATGCTCTTGTAATATCTTCAAATAAACAAATTATCAAAAAGTTGTATAGACTGAAGTGTATAATAACGTAACAATATTTTATAATATGACGGACTTCCGATTGTACCGGAAATGGAACCCGCTATTTTCTATTTCATTTTTGAATTCCTCATAAAAAAACAATGTCACAGTATAATGCAAGATTAAATTTCCTTTCGACTGATGTAAGGGTGTTGGTATTTGTGACCACTTCTTTTTCAAAAATTAGCATTTTTTTGAACTTTTCAATGATAATATTGTCTTAGCAAGTCAACGGTTTTCTTTTTAGTTTTTTGATGCTTTAATTAAAAGTTTTAGTAAGAGTTGGTAAGAGGAAGGGGGATCTGAGCCATCTAAAGAGAATTTTAAGGAATAGGAAGGCAGAATAGGAAATAGAGTAGGGATTATGTAGGGAATATGGGAAAAATAGGAATAGAAATGCTACATTTTTAATTTTGTAATAGGATTATGTTTAGAATATAAGTGAACTAATTATTAACTACAGTACATTTAATTATGTACATGGAGCTGAATGTTATAATCCAATTAAGGAGATGCAACACAACGACAACAAAGTCATTCAGTAACCCTTCGGGGTTAAGAATTGTTCTAGTAAATTGATGAAAGGTTCTACAGAGAATTAACGATGTTTTAATATCTTTGTAATGAAAAACACATTATGAAAAGTAGCAAAAAAAAAATCCATTTTTTGTACAAAAAGCACTTCATATTAGACGACCGCGGTGCTAATAAAATCAAAACTCTGATGTAAGTAATCCTTGTTTTTAATTGTAAGTAAGTAGTGTAGTATAATAGTTATAGTGATAAATACGGTTTCACACGTAACCCGTTCATTAAAAGTTTTTGAACTTAAAGTACCATTAGAGACAGAAGTTTGAAGCTATTAAAGAAGAATTGTGAGCACACAAAGAGAATTATACATGGATTGCAGTTAAAATAATATGATCAGCGTACTCTTACTACAAAGTGGTGTTACAATAAAAGCTAATTCATGTTTATTTTGAGATATAATTACTTTAATATAATATTGAAAGTGGATTATACAATTTAGAATGACTAG